TTTGCCTTGAAAGAAATGTGTTTTCTTCCCTCAAACACCAGCCATTACACTTAGTCACCAGCCTTCAAAGTTAACACTATTTCTCCTGCTTAAGAATCCCATGCAGGGCCAGGGATACAGCTCAGTGGCACAAGCACCTTCCTGGCAAGTGTAAGGTCCTGAGTTTGATTCCTGGTACTACAAAAATATAAAAAGAATGCCCATGTACCTCAGAAGAAACATAAGGATCTGAAATTCAACTGGACATGAAAGCACGGTCTGTTGTCCCCGCACCGAGGTGGCTGAGACAGGAAGATTCCCTGAGCCCCAGAGCTGAAGATCTAGGCAACATAAAAAGATTCCACCTCAGAAAGAAAAGGGAAAAGGAGAGAGAGAACCTGAAATTCTATCATAAATTATGCCCAGAATCTTCATTCATGCTTTATCAAAAAATATACATGCCTTTTACCCCAAGTGCCCATCTTAGCAATCTCTCCTACCTCTCACATGGGAGAGCTATGGACCAGTTCAACTGCCACAGCAAAAATGGAAACGCCAGTGGTCCGTGAAGTGCTGCCTCTGTACGGGAACCTCTCCCATCTGCTGAGAAAGACTGAGCCAGCCCCATGAGTATCAGTGTCGAAACTCTTCTAAATAAAGTACGAAGGAAAAAAAGCATGTTGTGGAACAGCAAGAGAGAGAAAGAGAGAGAGAGAGAGTGGTGTGTATGGTGTGTGTGTGTGTGTGTGTGTGTGAATACAGGCCAAATGTTGACACAGAGACTTTTGTTCCATATTCTTCTATTTTCACTCTTATAAAACTACCCATTAGTGACTTGTTCTTGGTATAGTTTCAAAAATTCTGAATTCTAAAAAAGAAAGAGCCGGGAAGATAGCTCAGCGGTACAGCTCCTGCCTGGCAAGTGCAAGGTCCTGAGTTTGATTCCTAGTACACGCCCCCCCCCCAAAAAAAAAAAAACAAATCAGAGCAATCCAAATAGTCATCAATGGATAAACAAACTGGCTTACACCTACAGTGGGGTAGTATGGGGTAGTATTTAGTCATAAAAACAACAAGAGCCAGGTGCAATTGCATGTTCCTATAGTCCCAGATACTCAGGAGTCTATGGCAAGACTCTATCTCAAAACAAAAATAAAAACAAACCCCCTCAAAAGGAAGGAAATTCCGACATGTGCTACCACATGAATCAACCTTGCAAACATTATGCTAAGAGAAATGAACCATATACAAAAAGCACTAATTCCCTGTAATGCTACTTAAATGTGGACTGTAGTAATCAAATTTACCAGATGTCAAAGTAGGACAGTGGTTTCCAGGGGCTGGGAGGAGGGGCGGGAATTATTTCATGGGTATAGATAATTAGTTTGAGATAAGGAAAGGTTTTGGAGATGGATCTCTATCATGGTACTTAAATGTGGAATTGTAGTAATCAAATATACCAGATGTCAAAGTAGGACAGCGGTTTCCAGGGGCTGGGAGGAGGGGGGGAGGGGGAAAATTATTTCGTGGGTACAGATAATTAGTTTGAGATAAGGAAAGTTTTTGGAGATGGATGGTGGTGATTTCTGGCTTAGATTTTTTTTTCCTTGTGGTGCTGGGAATTAAACACAGGTTTTTGCACTGAGCTACAACCCCAGCCCTTGTTGTATTTTTTATTTTAAAATAGGGTCTCACTAAATTGCTAAATTGGCCAGGCTGAGTTTCAACTTGTGATCTCGCTGCTTCAGTTTCCCAGGGGGCTGGGATTATAGTCATGGCCCCATGCCCACTTTAAGATTTTGATTGAGACTATACTGAATTTATAGATCAAGTTGTAAAAAAAAGCTTTAGTTTTTCTATCAGTGTATGTGAATATCTCTCCATAAATATAGATCTTTAATGTTTTTCATCAGTTTTGTACTTCGCTTCTATAGATCTTGCTCATATTTTGTTTTATATATATGTGTGTGTGTGTGTATATATATATATAT